ATATGTCCGTGTTAAAACACACGAAAGGACTCTAAAGCACACTTCACTCTGATTGGGCAGAAAAACACAAAGATTTTCTGGCACCAATCAGATGGCAGAACGACTGCGACCGTTTGGAAGTAGTCTTGTAAGACAATGTCCCCAGGGGCTCTTCATGCCCTAACTTGAAATCGACCCACTGCCCCTGGGTCTTCGAGGATGGTGCGTTTTAAAACTTTGTACGTCTCTTAGCCGTCCTTTGCAAAACAACAACGTGAAATCACCAAAATTTGCGTCATCTACGAACTGAAACCGCGACGGCAAATTATTTTAATTTCCATTCAGGAACTCAACGCTCCATTTATGCGTTTTGTTGAGGTTGAGGTGAGGCGCCATAGGTGACGGTAAACGCATGCGACCATTTTCCAAATTCTAATTAAAAGAAGAATCTCATTTTTTAATCGACGTCTTCTTTAGCGTTGCCGTCTTGACTGCTTAAGGTCCCTAATGCCTCGCGCGAAGGCTGCAACTCTACATGCACTCAAAGATCCCTAATCTAAGTTGGACCACACCTTCCTTTCATTATTTCACTTCCTCCACTCCTGCTTTCTTAGAAAAAAAGAATGAGCACGGTCTAACCTGTTTTAAGCAACCCCGTACAAAGGGATCACCCTGTATTAAGTGGTTGATTGTCAAACTCCGAAATTTTTCCCACTTAGTTTGAAATGTTCACCTGTTTTCTGAAGTGGCCTCGGTCACCCTTGACGGAATTCCAAGGGCCTGTTGGTATTGACTTGTACAAGTGCTCGTGGAATTGTTCTTTAATTGATTTCTGAACACTGATAATTTTCTTGTGACATTATTCAAAAAACTCACTTTTGCTTGTTTATTCCAAATTGCACTCGATAACATATAATTACCAGTACAAATGACTCCAATTATTAGTTAATTGCTCCTTATTTCCAAATCCTTGTTAATTTGAAGATTCCTAGAGGAGGGGAGGGGAATTTCTCCTTTTGTGCGATCAAGTTTTATCAGGGAATGTTTTGGCTTGTTTCTACACAGGCATCCCCAGCTCAAGTCTCGAGAGAAAGCAAAATATAAATTCGTGAAAACGTCACGCGCTGTGCAACGGGGTGTTAAGTTAAGCGAAGAACCGTTGTGAATTTAAACGCGTTATAAGTGATAGTATTGGGAACGAACTAAAGTATGGTCGATTTACAACATTAATTATTCCTAGATATAAAAATGGTACACCCAAGATTAATAAAACTCACTCCCTCCCTGTGTCCACCGTGGTTTCTGGCGATCTCTGCCGTTTTGGATTATGCCTGTTGCAAGAGTCTGTCAAATTCTCGGGCTACAGTTCAGGGGTCGACACTAACGGTAGCCGACTAGCCACAGACTAGTAGAAATTCAGTTTTGGCTCGTGGTTTTCAATTTCCACTAGCCAGTGTGGCTAGTAAACAGATTGAAATGGTCGTAACATTTAAAAATATATAAGATGTCACTAGCCACTTGGCTAGTAAGTTGAAAAGTTAGTGTCGAACCTTGCTTCTAATTTTTATTTAAACACGAAGGCGCGCTATACAAAGGAGCCTTAGGTCCCACTGGACCATTTGTCAATTAACCGTCGTGTGATGTAGAACTCTTAGAGTCAAGTCAGCTTGAGCTACAGCTACTCCAAAGCAGTGAACAGCGGGCGCATTCCACAAAATTGCTTTATGTCTTCATCACAATACAAGAATTTCTGAGATTTGTATTTCCTTTCTCCAATGTAAACTGTCTTTATTTGTGGCGGTGAATTTGAGATCGAAGTAGGTGGTCCGCACGTTACCTCATTGCCACCATGCTGGTGGAAGTAAACAATAAATATCTCATTAGCTCCTTTTGTTCGTCTACCAGCATTTAAATTTGACCCGCACACGTCAACGGTGAGTGACAAATGAGCCTAGGTCTTCCCAGGGAAGACTTCCTAATATAGCGCGCCTTCGTGTTTAAACAAGTTACCAAATCGTTTCCCCAAGTCTCTCTTTTTTTACCACCATCATATCTCGGTGGTAAACATCCTCTGCTAAAGAAGTCACTAACTGAAACAGTTTAGTTTTTATTAAAAAGTATTACAATCTCTACAATGGTATTGTCATAATAAATAATGCAATAAAACAAAAGCTTAATATTTTCATATATTCTGTCTAGTTCTTTCCCTTTAGAATCAGCCAAGATCACATATTCAAAATTTTGACAACACCACATTTTGGGCTACATCAACCCAAATCTCTGATTTTCCTTTGATTTTTAAGTTAGTAAAATAGAAAGAGGTATGCATTGCTATTAGCATAAACAATGTACAAATTGCAAAAGAAAGTACAATTTACAACATGTCTGCTTATTTCTGGTAAAAATATGTCATTGTTGGAGAGTATGTTCACAGATTTTCCATCAAAATATACAGGTACATTTTTTTCCTGATGCTTGTGTTTATGTATCCCCGGTCATGATGGCAAGAAATTCTTCCTCATTTACTGCAGAAACAAAAGTGAAAACCAAACTAAGCATAGTTATATTTTAGACATGTTTATCATGTGAGGAGATAGTCTTGAGGAAAAGGAGTGTTGAAATGGGATGTTTCTAGGTCTGTCAAAAGCAGAGAGAGTTTTAATTTTTAAGAGCTAACAAGTTTTAAATCTGTGGTTGAAACTGTGAAAATAACCTTATAAATACCTAGGGGAATGATGATATTTTACAAGCTTACAATATGGATAAGGAAGACAGATATTCATTGGACAATTACTGTTTCTGCAGGTCTGTAAATTTCAAATTTATGCAGAAACTGACATAGAGATCAGTAAAAGCCAGAATGCCAAATAATTCTAACTACTTCATGTCTACAAAAACTCATTTTAAAATGGGTACACATAACAATAACTTGAATAGAAACCTACTTATGGTAGTTTGTCAGAGTTATTAGAATAGACAAACTCAAAAGAAGGAATAATTTGGATATATCAACAAAGTTGAAGTGGTAAATTGGCCATCGTAACGATTACAAAAGCTGACGTTTCGAGCGTTAGCCCTTTGTCGGAGCGAATAGAGGGATTGTGGGTTGTGTGTGCTTTTAAAGGCAGAGAATGGAGTTTCCCTCTTTCCCAAAAGAGGGAAACAAATCAGAGATGGAGTAGGATAGTTAGAGAGAAATTACACAGACTGCAAATTAAATTACAACATTTTGGGTGGATTCTAGCAAAAAACAAACCATAACATGTACATATACAATTGACTTTAAAGCCACATAATTTTTCCGTGTACAAGATTATACAATGCTCAATGCTTCTACTGCAAAGTTCTCCTCAGTTATTCTCCTTCCTATCTGCTAGATAATTCTTATAATGTTGACTAATACATAGAATTAATTTTGTTATTGGATCAACTAATAATTCTCTGATCCATAATTCTGTTTTCAAATTCTCATGGAATGTCTGCTTGATATTGGATTGATATTGGATTGATATTGGATTGATATTGGATTGATATTGGATTGATATTGGATTGATATTGGATTGATATTGTAAGGAGAAATTCTGTCTTGGTCAGTCACTGGAGTTAAAGGATTCAATAATGCATATTGGAACATGTAGTCTGTACTCAAGCCTAGTGGCCCACCAAACTGGAGATATCCTGGTTTCCTTGGCATGAAGCAATGAGGGGTATTGCCTCTCCCCCATCTGGATGGGATGCCAGTTCATCACAAAGTTACTGTACCCCTCACCTCCCCTCCCCCTCCCCCCACATTTCATCAAGCTTTCCTGAACATGTATTGCTCTGCAATTTCCCTTGACAAATTCCATATGATCAACTAGAATACATCAGGCTTTCCAGAACATGTACTGCTCAGCAGTTTCCCTTGACAAATTCCATATGGTCAACTAGAATACAAGTTAGGAAGCTGGTGCAAATATGGAAAGGACTTTATCTTTATAATCACATTTATAGGCACTCACTTTCTCCATCTCCATCTTTATCAAACTCATCAATCATGGCTCTAAGCTCCTCATCTGTCATATTCTCTCCCAGCTCTCTTGCTACTCGCCTGAGATTCCTGAGACTAATTTTGCCGCTGTCATCATCGTCAAACAATCTGAATGCCTTGAACACTTCTTCTTGTGGATCCCGATCTAGCATCCAGTCTGTCACTGAAATTAGGAGGAGAAACAGCATGTAAATAACGTTGTTCAGAAGGAGTTCTCCATAGTTACACTTTTTACATTAACAATGCATTAGACAAAATTAACAAATCACATTGTTGGAAATGCACAATGATTCCAAATTGCTTTCAACTTTGCAAGCTGAGAACTAGAGTTCTATTTCTGAAGATTTTCCTCTGCATTTTCTACCATCTTGACAAGTTCTTCTTTCAAACTTTCTCCATGACTGTATACAGTTCTTAAAATTTGGAAGTTTGTTACCATCCATATCTCAAAAATTTGCAATTGTTTTTAGAAGAAAAATTTTTTCTCCGTCTGGCAAGGATTTCTAAAAGTTGCCTTACATCATACATAGTTTTCATTATCTATATTGACAATATAGATTGACTACTGACTATTCACAATAGTTCACGTCTAATAAGCACCCAAAAATTTCTTCAATTATTGAAAGATTACAATTATAAAATATTGTCATTGTTACCCTGATTCTGTTTTCATGTAGGTAAACATTGATTACAAAAGGTACTTACTGGCTGAGTGCAAGGGCCAGCTGGAAAATATTTGACTTTAGGTCATGACTGTGAGCCAAATATTTTACTGTCCAGCCCAAATAGGCTCAGTCTCAAAAATTTTGTTTAAATGTAAATGAGATGCAATAGATGGGTGAATGTGAAATGCCACAAAAAAAAAAAAAAAAGATTCTAAAATAAAAGGTTAACCTTTTTTTTCTTGAGGGAGGACAAGAAAATCACAATTCAAATTGAAAAAAATGCAACTTTTTGTGACTCTTTTTTTTCCTAGAAGTTTTTGCAACAAAGCAGTGTCACTGCAGGGCCTAACAGCTTTTCCAGGACCAGCTCACTTCAATCCCTCCATTCCTTCACATGTCAGCTTTCACACTGGTTTTTTATCAGATTGCACATGTGGGTCATATGGTTCACATGGTAAGTCTCTTTAATTGCCAACAAGATCGCTGCTTTTACGTTTACTTACTGACTTCATTGAAGTCATCAAATGTAATTTTGCCTGAAGCTTCCCTATCATAGTCCTTCATGATTTTCAGAACATCTGCTTTCTTCACATCAAATCCAAGAGCTCTCATCGCAACCTAAACAATAACAGCAATACATAATTAATAATTCATCTATTTAAAATTGCATCTGAGTGATCAGTAGTTAAAATTGCTCCCTCTACTGAAAATCATTTGTCATGTTATCTCAGGTGCATTTTGCCACCATGATATCATTTTGAATTCTGCAAGCATTTAAAACCCTTCCCCTCATAGATAAAGGTACAGTTATACAATTGTATTCACAACTATTTCACAAGAATTCACAGAGTTTGAACAGCATTCTCCCAGACTTTGAACAATGTCACCTCTAGGTAAACATGCCAACAGTTCTGAGATCCTCTAAAATCAAAACCTGCATGTTTACCATCACAGTAAGAAATTCAGATAGATTCATGACAAATAACTAACAAAATCAAATAAAAATTAAAAATCCACCAGCTAACATAAAGTAGCCTATATATAAGTTGTAGTGACACAAGATCAGAACTGTAACCATATGGCATTTACAAGCATTATCTCTTTGATAGTACAAAAATAAAATTCACAAGTACTTCATAATAAGAAAGAAACCCAAATTCAGCCAGTAACATGTTTCAGGAGCATTTTGACAGTCAGAGTCAAGTAAATATTTCTTTGATTATCTCAATCATGGCTGATTTAATCTAAAATATGACACTAACACATTGACCTTCTATGTAAAACCCCAAAAAAAGGCAATCCTGTTTTTTGTTAGGTCTATTAAGGACACATTAATTATCTAAGATTCACGCTTTCAAAAGAAACAAAAGGGATTTACTGATTGAAAATGCCACTCGACTTATCAAAAACATCAATTGAATATTTTGACAGGCAGAATACAATTAGGCACTGAAGCTAATTACTGACTTAGTAATACGCATACATATTTTAGGAAAGATTACACTATACAGTGTGGACAACTACTCAGCCACAAACAGAAATGACAGTAAAATACTCCTTGGATGCTTGATCATCACAAATTTGCGGGAATGTAAAGTTATCAAAGCAGTCCTACGTATATGGTGACATGTAGAGCGACAAATCTCTTTTCTTTAGACGAGACTCGCGAGTTGTGCTTGAGAAAATACATCTCCTGTCCAAGATTCGAAAAGTTACTTCACAAAACATGTGTTTTAGTGTCGAATCTGCTACTCGGTTGAAAAGATCATGTTCGATTGAAAGGTAAACCTTGGTTGAATTAATAAAATGCAAGAAAATTCGGAAATTGTTTGATTAAATAATTGCGATGCGCTGTTTAATAAAGCACAGGAAATTGCGTGCTGATTCTGGGATGAAGGTAAACGAAGATTAGCGTACAGTACACGTAATACAGTATTTTAAAAATATTTTGTATTTCAACCATCAAGCACGTCTTAACCAGACATTTAATGTGTCGAGAAATCAATCGTTTCTTCAGAGTAGGCTACGAGTATGTTAAGGTTTAACGTCTCCTAGAGCATTCGTTTTAGAGGATTTAACAGCAGCGGTTAACTTTTTGTCTCGAAACAATACTTAAAGAATAATTTCTAAAGCAAAGGTCAATTAGTGGAAAAGTCCCGCTCAAAACATCGTCACACAATCATTAAAGAACAAAGACGAAATCAGTTTCTAAAGTCCAGAGAGGTACTGCGCCATTTTGCCGATTTCAACAAATGTTAAACGGCAAGCCCAGGGAAACGTCAAGAGTTGGATAGTAACGATGATTTTAATTTTAAAGCTTATGTTACCTTCAGTTCGTGATAATCTATCGCACGATCCTTGTCCGTATCAAATAAGTCAAACGCTTCTTTAATTTCTTGCTTTTGTTCTTCACCGAGCTCCCGCCTCTTGCCTTTCGAGCCTCTCCCTTTGCTAAAATCAGGCGTCTTCAATGAAAGACTCATCTCCGCTTTCGTTTGAGCTTTTGAATGAACTGTAAAAAAATTGCCGTAATTTTTTTTGACGCTGTCGTTCGTCGCGTAGCAAGCGCTTGTTGCTTTGGTAAATGACGCGCAAAATTCGACTGGCGGTTAGACCCTGTGAACGCATGCGTATGTAACCGTTATTTTCCCGCAAGGAGTTGTGGGTGGATCAGTCAATATGGCGGACGAATTGAGCTTTCTCCAAATAGTTTTCAAATGCTAATCAAACTGTCCTTATACGATCATGGACCCACCCGACTTGCGATATGTTGTTCAAGCAACGATCATAAAGTACTTAGTTTGTAGTAGTGATATCTCACGGGAACACATCGTAATGCTGGAGTATCTTCGAAATTTTGGACTAGGTGTTTTTGGAGACGAAATTCTTTCACAAATCTTTGAAGATTTTCCTGGTGAACTTACCGATGAACTGTTAGCCGTCCTATCACCTCCGCATCTGAAGCAATTAAAACTGAGAAACTGTGATCGTTTGTCGTGCAGTGGGCTTCAAACGGCAATTGCCAAGTATGTTATACCCTTAATTCATGTAGATTCATGATTCCCATAATTTATCGAAAAAAATTTATTAGCATACAAGTGCAAACTGTGTTATACTCGTTTCCTGGCAGGTGTCACCAGCTTCAGGCAATTGACTTTACTGAATGTATTCATCTCCTTCATCCAGTCGTATTTTGCTGTATTAAAGAGAAAGCAACAAAATTGGTGTCTCTATCTTTTGAAAATTCAGAAGTTGTCTCTGATGACATTGTTCAGGTAAGTATACGTTCAAGGGACTTGTAAATGATTACAAATATCAAAGTATTTGGTATTATTATCCAACTGTGCTTCACGAGTACAAGTAAAGCACGAAACGAGCACAAATATCATGCAATATTTGTACTCCAGAAATATTCGTGAAATTCGCCTGCTCTGAAATAACAATTTGGTTGGTATGTTGGATAATAATTCTCTTATAAGATGTTTTGTTGTGTAGTATTGCTGAGTATTTTAACTTGTTATTTGTATTTTGACTTGCCCTATGGGCTTGTCAAAATACAGCACAACCAGTAAAAATACTCAGCGATACCACACAACATGTGACATCATACATGTATGATGTCAGTGAATAATTCTCAGTGAGCACATCTACAATTTAGGCAGACAGGATTATTATTTCTCATTTTGTATGCTACCTAGTTATGACAGTGACAGTTTGGAATGAGATCCAGAAACTTCTTCCTGCAATGACTGATTACCACCAACCTCATCATAGTGTACTTACTTGATTATAAATTTAGCTAGTGTGGAAAAAGGTTCAATGATGGGGCTTTTCATGTAAAATAATGGTGTTGTCATGGCCAACCTTCCTTGTTTCCAGTGGTAGCAAAATTTCAAGAGCTAGGTGTCACCAGCTATCAAACATGAGCCTGTTGCCACAGGAAACGGAGCTAGTTTCTTATGACAACAATACAATTTTAATGTCAAAACGTGGTAGCCAAACTTCCGTCATTCCATTCAACTGAAAATCATATTATATGTCCTCTGTAGAAACTCTGGTAGAAAAAAGGTTTAATAAGTGTGCTTTTCATTATAGACAATCTGAAAAATTCAAGTAAAATTAAACCCCCAATATTTTCATGTTGGATGGAAATAATTTTTTGCTCCTATCTTCTCATGCTGCCCAGTTATAGTGTTCTGAACTTGTTTCTTGTTTAGGTGGCTTTGATGTGCTGTCCAGGCTTAAAACACCTCAACCTTTCCAGTTGTAAAAACATTACTGATGCTGCTTTTGCAATTCCAAACTCTAAAAAAGAAGCAACAAGCACAGATCCTGCTTGTGAAACACCTCAGGCAGGTTGTAACCTTACTAATGTTGATATATCGGGCTGCCGCTCACTATCAACTGATGCAGTGAAACACCTTGTCAGTTTATGTGGATGTAGTTTAACAAGTATCAATCTTGCTTGCACAGGAGTCAATTGCATGGCATTGCTGTACTTAGCTGGATTAAATATGGATAAAGTAGCAAGAATCATACACAATACAGTTGCTATAACAACCAATCTTGCTTTGATGTCACACAAAAAGACAGGACAGGACATTGATTTTTTCAAAACACAGCCAACCCCAATGATGTCAGAAGATAATGATCTTTTTCATGATGAAGATTTTTTTAATGAAATGGAAGTTTTGACACTAAAGTCTATTCTCCCTCCATGTCATGAGGATGAACTGCATGAAGCAGGAAATGAACAGAGCAATGAGGAGTCTGCATCTGATACCTCTTTTTCAGTTTCATCCAGTTTGTCCCCAGAAATCCCAACAAGTAGTAAAGCTTCTGATCACGACAGTGCAAGGTTTGGTCAGCTGTTGGAGAAGGGAGGTGAAGAGTGTTATGATGATGGTGGTGATAGAAATTTCATGGAGAGAGCAGGAGATAGGAAAATTTGCTGGAATTACATTCCCACTGAAGATGGATCCGAGGCAGTTGTTGACAATGAAAGTACTTGTTGGAACAGGATGCAATTACTTTCAATGAAAGAAGAAAGTACTTGTGAACTTAGGAGTGTAAGTAAGGGAGAGCTTTGCATGGAGGGATATGATCAGATGACTGTCACAGAAAAAACTACGGAACACTGTGGATCAGAGGAAATTTTAGCTGGTGAAGGTAATTTTGAAGTAGAGAGCGATCCAGTACATGAACTAGAACCTGTAGCTAATGTGTCTACTTGTACAGGTTTTGGAGAAGATGTCTTGAGTACAGAGTGTATCAATACTGATATGTCTTGGGGAAAAATCAGGGGAGAGCAACCTGACTATTCTACAACACAATGTGTGGAAGCTGGGGAGGAAAAGTCTACATACAACTATCTTACCACACCAATCACAAGCATGAATTGTGCTGTACCTTCTACAGAGTCAGCTTTAGATGATGGAGAAGTAGGGACTCAGGAGTTTAGAATCCATGCTAGGAGTGGGGAAGGAGAGAAACCTGTTATTCCCAATATTTCTTTGCAACATTTAGATGAAGTGAATGGTGATTGTTGCTCTGCTACATGTAACATGTCATGTACAGTGCATGAATCTTCCACCCCTGCTATTATTCCCGACAACAATGGGATAGGCAAGGAATCTAAGAATTGCTGGGAGGGTGAAGATGTGCTAAATGAGTACGTGGAAGAAGTTAACCCCAATCAACATAGAATTTATACTGGTGGAAAGGATGACAAAAGTTCATCTGACTGTTTACTTTCACCCAAAAGAGTTATTCAAATAAGTGATTTGTTATTAATGCAGAGTTTTCAGCCACAGATTACAACACTGGACATCACTGGCATGCATTATCCCAGCAAACAGCTGGGTAATGCATGCTTGAAAATTTTCTCTCATGGGAATGAATGCTTGAAAAATTTTGCAATTTCATGGTTGGAACTGGAGGATGGAATGTTGACATCCATTCTCAAGCATCAACATGACCTGGAATCTTTGTCTCTGGTATGTACATATAGAAATATCCATGGTCGTTATTATTTGTAATGGTTAGACATGAGTGTGTGCAAGTTATTGATAATTATCAATAGTAACTTAAATACTTGGTAATGGGTCAGAAACCTGGCTCTACTTTATGGTTGCAGCAAACCAGAAGGTTTTCATGATTTAGCAATAGAGGGGACTTTCTATCAGTGTCTCAGCGTGAGAACCCAAGTGGGATGTTGGTAAGAAACTTGAAAAGTTTTGTATACATTTGAACCTCTCCTTTTAGGGGACCTCTATCCAGGGGACCTCTATCCAGGAGACCTCTATCCAGGGAACACTTGCTCTGGTCCCAAGAGTGACCCTTGCATGGAGGTTCTTCTGTAGTTTGCCTTTGCTATGTGATTTACAAACTTTTCTTGTGGTCTGTGCAACATCCTGACAATTTAGATTTGTAAAACGTTATCATCATAGTCAAGGTGATCCAAAGAAAAACATAGGAAGGGAATTAGACTTAATCATACCTTCAGAGTATCCCTAACTTAGACTTACAGAAAGTTCTCTTTGATGTTCTTTCAACTTTCCAGGTTGATTGTGAAAAGCTCAGCAACCTCTCTCTGATCTCCATCCCTGTGCATTGTCCAAAACTCAGCAGTTTTGACCTGAAGGGCATGTGTTATGTCACTGACCATGGACTGGTGCCCCTTGCTAGGAGCAAATGTCTACAATCCTTGTCCCTGGCTGAGGCTGCCATTACTGACTTTACACTTGAGAACATAGCCAAGGGCTGTGGGGCAAAGGTAAAAGTATCTATATACATAGAGCTTTGTTTGTGTAGGACTAGTGTTGTAGCCCTATGAGAAATGTGAGAATTGCGGTGAGTTGAGGGGGTGGTTGGGCTGAAGTAAAGATAACATACACATTTTGTGTATGAAGAGTGGCCAGTTACGAAATTCTAAAGGGAAAAAGGCATAGAGGATCCCTTTTCTCTGTTTCTGTATTTATACGGTGGGGGGTTAAGGGTGCTCGAGGACGTGCTGTATTCATAGTCGTGTAGTGTGATTTCTGCATGATTAGCCCGTGACCAGGCCCTCAGTATAAGTGCTTTCTTACGAGTGTTTCTTCGACGGCGGGTAAGTTTGAGACCTTGAGGTCTCCCAGACTCGTCTCCAGTCTTCCCGCGGGCCGAAACACGCTCGTCTTGTAGCGCTAATCCGGCTCATAATAATGTCTGATCGCAGGCTGCTACACGATCGACAATTGTTAATTTGGGGTTCAAACCACGAGCTGTGAGACTAGCCTAGTTCTCAAGCACCTATGTTGTGGTGAATGTGTAATTTTTTGTATTTCTTACATACAGGTTTTATATTTCCGCACCCGTTAATATACACTTATTCTTTTCGTTTTTAAACGTTTAATTTCTACACCTATATTTTCGCACTTTATGTAAATTACGCCGCCGTTTATGTGTTTCACGCCCCATTATGCAGTGTGTCTTATTGCTTGGGTCGATGTAAATCTTTTCCCTACGAGTGTTTCGTTCGTATATTCCCTCAGCATTTGGTAAGCTTTTTTTTTTGTCTTGTGGTATCTTCTCATTTATTTTCCCGTCTTATATGTTGGTGTATTTTGGTCAAAGTTGTTATTTGTTTCAGTAAAGGTGTATGATTGAACCGAGTCCTAGCCTCTTCAACCTGGTAGACGAATTAGTTTTAAGCAGGTTCTGAGATATGGACGGATAGATTGATATGTTTTTCTTTTCTGTAGCTTAAAGTCTTGGACATATCCTGGTGTGAAGACGTCTCAGACCAGGGAATGTCAGCGGTGGCAAAATCTTGTCGCACCCTTCAACGACTTGGTCTACGCCAATGTGCAGCTTCGAAGCTCACCATCACTTCACTTGGAAAAAACTGCCATCATATTTCTTGCCTGAACATCGCAGGGATTGATAGCTTTACAGATGATGCACTCAGTAGCTTGGCCGAGAATATGCCGCTTCTCAGAGAAATAGACGCAAGCTGGAACTCGCGTTTATCGGATAACGGCGTCAAAACCCTGCTTCAAAGCTGTGTAAAGCTTAAGAAAGCAGTTTTAAGCGGTTTAAAGCTTATTACCTCTCAGCCATTTTTGGAAATCATAGGAGATTTGAGTTGTTGGCGCTTATTGGAAGAATTGTGGAGATACAACAGAAAATTCCAAGGTGTGCTACCCCAAGGGAAAGTTTCTCTGAAGGCGTGTGATGCGGTAAGTGATTCGCTGATTCCAGTTATAAAACCACACTCGAGAATGGCAGGTTGGAAAATATCGAATGCTGGAATTCGGAACCGGAATACTCGGAATACCCGGAATTCGTTGAATGGCCGAAAAATAATAAATTGTAAATTGATAGATAAATAAGAATATTGATGATTAAAAATTAATTATAATTCACAATTTATTTAAATAATTTAATACTTACCAGCACTGTTCGTGGAGATGCACGTTTTAGAATGAAAAAAAGTCTGCGTCAGGCCAGTAGCCCCTACAGCCTAAGCGACGAAATATTTCTACTCTTCCTTCCATCACATGGTTACTCCCCGTTTTAAATTCGCCTCCACCCATTTACATACCTGGCTCCGGTTGTTCAAAGGGCGGATAGCGCTATCCAACGGATAAATCACTATCCAGCGGATAAGTGTTACCAAAACGTACTGCGCTATCCACCGGATAGGGATTTATCCACTGGATAGCGTTATCCGTCCTTCAAACAACCGGGGCCTGTAGAATGTCTTGGGCGCCATGACCATTAGGCCGCCACGCTTTTCCAGCCGGAACCATTGCAGAAGATTAAACAAATGCAATATTTCCAAGTAGTTTAATAGTTCAATTGTAATAAGCTCCGAACTATTACAAATTAATGCTCTACCTTAAATAATTATTAACCACACATTGGGAGCTATCAAAACAGCTACCATTAAGACCAGCCGTCTACAGTTAAAATTGAGAGATCGTCAGCTACTCGACACCTTTCGCGTTTATTATATATACCTTGAAATATAAACCTTGTACTGATGGATTGTTCTAAACATAGAAAAAGGACGAAAAATGACCTACTCCTCGGTTGTCTCTGGAGATTTTTTTTTCCAGTTACTTTTTTATGGTCGTGGTTTCACTTGAATGCTAAATTTGACCCGCCACGTGGTCCGTTGTCTTCACTGGTGGTACTCCCAGCGATTCTGAAGTGTATAGGCACTGTTTATCAATTTTTTCATAATGTATTTGTTTTTGGAAAACCACGCAGAATCGAGTAGTTCAGAGAAAGAGCTGATTATTTTTAATTATTAATTAATTTATTATTTTTTTAATTTATTATTTTCGGTCATTCCGGGAATTCCGGGTATCCCGAGTATTCCGGTCCCGAGTATTCCAGTTCCGAGTTCCTGCAATCTTTATTTGCCAAACTACCCTCGAGAATTTTCACTCACCTCTTCTTTACCATGGTGTCAACGTCTATGGATCTATTAAAACTGGGTTTGTCACCAGGTGGATACATTTAAAAATATTTGAAAATACAAATTAAGTTGCGTTGGTGGTTAAAAGCGTTTCTGAAATTATAGACGATAAAAATTTTCCCGACGTTTCGGTCGCAATCACGGACCTTCAGGGGAAGTGAAAGAAAAAATTTTCAAAATACTTGTCAGTTTTTCTTGTTAGCGAGAGTCAAGTGTAAATACTCCTTGGGGAGTAACGCCCCATCGCCTCGGTTGAGTGGGTCTTTGGCGCAGTGAATCTCCCAGGCCTCGAGAATCTTTCTTTGGTGTCAGTTATTGTTAGTCCTGAGAATTGTGGCCTCATCCCTACGATATTGTGATTTCTTTTTATCACGTGGTCAGCAAATGCAGATCTTTCGCCTTGTCGCCGCGCGACAACCTTTTGGTGCTCGCCTTTTCTTCTTATGAATTTTCTCAGCGTTTCGCAAACGTAACTCTTGCTGCAATCAGCGCAAGGAATGTCGTAGGTCACGAGTTTCTTAGTCAATTTAGTTTTTCGGCCGTTTTGAGAACGTCTGGCTTATTGTCTGATAGGGTTTAAATGTCACTATAATGCCGTGGTTTTTTGGAACTCTCTTTACTGGCTCAGAGGTCCCGCTAACGTATGGAATTGTACTGTGCCCCTGTGCAGATTCTGCAACGGCGGTTATGTCTTTCAAGGGTGGTTTAGGCTTGCTGGCACCCAACATGAAACGCTTGGGGTATCCATTGGACTGCAATGTCGATATCACTCGTTGTTTTTGCTTCATTTGGTCGGATTTTGTTGTAGGGATTTTTCCGGCCCGATCTATCAATGATTTAACCACAGCTCGCTTATGCAGACTGGGATAGTGCGATGAAAAAGACAGATAGCGATCAGTGTGGGTAGGTTTCCGGTAGACGGTGGTGGTTAATCTTCCGTCTTCCTGGTGGTAAAGCATGGAGTCAAGGAAGGCAATTTTCCCCTCGCTTTCGCGTTCAATCGTGAACTCAATGCAGGGTTCAATTGAGTTTGAATCGATTTGAGAAAATTCTGGGTACTATCAGGTTTCTTGGTTGTACTCACGTCGTCCACAAATCTTTTCCAAAACAGAGTTTGATTGGTAAGAGTAGTCAATGCTCTTTCTTCAAGGTCTTCCGTGACCATATTTTCCATTACGGCGGAAACGGGTGAGCGTATAGCTGTCCCATGGATCTGCTGATAATGCTTGTGGTCGTATTGAAAGTTGGTGGTTGACAGGCAGAAGTCAAGTAATTCGATAATGTCAGTGACCGGTAGGGCCGTCCTTGACAAGGCGGTTGTGAGCAACATTAATAGCTACATCTACCGGAATCGACGTAAACAAAGAGACGACGTCGAAGGAAACAAGCTCGTCGTCATCCTGAAGATTCCTGTCAGCAATGCTTCCACAGAACCATAGTTAGTCCCCTCTACTACACTCAACCGAGGCGACGGGGCGTTACTCCCCAAGGAGTATTTACACTGGACTCTCGCTAACAAGAAAAAGTGACACGTATTTTGAATTTTTAATCAGCGTCTTGTTTATATCTGCGCTTTTGCATAAATTTTTTTCTTTCATTTCCCCTGAAGAAGGTCCGTGATTGCGACCGAAACGTTAGGAACATTTTTATTGTTTATAATTTCAGAAACGCTTTGTTAACCACTAGTGTAACTTAATTTGTATTTTCAAATATTTTTAAATCTATGGATCTTTGCCATACATAATTTTTTTTTTATTTTTCCACAGTTACGTTAAGTTGATCTTTGTTGCTATTGCTATTTTTCCTTTCTTTACGTCACCGACGAATCAGCAGCGACGAGTGAGTTTGCTTTAATGGAAAAAACAAATTTGTATCTGGAAACAATTTTTCACGGTTGATAAGAATAACCGGGAAAATCTATAACTAAATTGTTAGCCTCCGTGGCTGGCGTACAAAGGTAAAGTCATTTGGAGTACCAAGCGTGATAACTAGCGAAACTTCACCACTTTGTAGGACAATAACGAAAACGAGAATTTATAGGTTAAACTATGCGGTCTAGACCCAATCTCCAGCCGCTGTTCGGAAATTGAGCACGCACTTCTGCTGTGAAATTCGTAACCTGTTCCAGA